ATATGGTAACCCTATTATTTTATATTTTTATTTTGAGTTACATTAAAGAGATTAGTGTAATAGAAAAACTGTGTGTTGAGAAGAAACCGTAAAGTTTTGTCCTCATCGAGAAATACAGGACATGATGCTAAAACAAAACATGGATTAAAAAAGAAGATGCCTTACAATCACTTGGATTATGAGCTATTTGAGAGGGGATTGTCTGTTATATGAATGTACAGCTCCTAGCACAATGGAGCTTAAGGGTGAGATTCTGTGCTGTGCCAGAACACGCAGCCCTGGGGAAGGGAATAGTTAAGGTGGCCTTGAGCCACCTTTCTGCCCTCCTGATCCTGCATCGTTTTGGGGGACAGAGGTCCTAGAGAAAAAAGAACAGGAGTACTTGTGGCACCCTAGAGACTAACAAATTCTCTAAGGTGTCACAAGTACTCCTGTTCTTTTTGCGGATACAGACTAACATGGCTGCTACTCTGAAACAGGTCCTAGAGAGTAATTTAAGACAGCCCTTGGGGCCTAAGTTTCAGAAGCCTCCCTAGTTGTCTTAAGGGCCACAGTGCTGCCTAGAATCTACTACGCTGCATGCTGTGATCCCACCCTAACACAGGGTTTGCAGTGGAGTCTTCAGAAGGTAGCCTTCTGGCTGTCTTCTGCATTGCCTGTGCCAGGACTTCTACAGCCCCTTCATGTCACTCCAGCTGTTTTACCCCATATAACAGGGTGAGAGCAGGGCTGACCTCACCCCTCCTCCCAGACTCTTGGTGCTACACCAATGCAATGGATTATTAACAATAATGCCAATGGTTTACTAGTGGGGATTGAGTAGACCGATTTTTTTGAATGCACGCTTTTCAACGTAAAGCTTTTATAGTCAAATAAAAAAAGCTCTAGAAAATCCCTGCTGTTTTGCACCTTTTAAAGATTTTCCATTTTCTGTTTCATAGAAAAATTTTACATGCACAAATTATTTTTCATATGTCCTATGATTGTCCCAAAAGGATTTCGAGTCTAATATAATATGTACTGTACAGTATAAAAGACTGTAAATTTCAGTATGCAATGTGAAACGGAAATAAATGCACTGAGATATGGTTTTATACAAAAGAGAGTTGAAGTCAGTGGTTTAAGCATGGGACTGGAATACCCCTGTTTACGTCTTGCTTAGATTCTGATGTATATTAATACATTTCACAACCACTTCCATAATAAATAGTACAACAACACTTAACTCTTGTATTGCATTTTTCATTTGTGGATCTCAAAACACTTATGAAGGAAAAGTATCATGTTCCCCATGTTATAGATTGAAAAATCTGAGGCACACAGAGGTGCAGTAACTTTTCCAAAGTCAATCAGTTCAGTGCATGTGCACAGTGAGAGAGATCCCTTTTTATAAGGAAACAGATTTCAGATTCTTGCTTTCAAGAGATTATTCAGAGTGAGTACATTTAAAAAAATTAAGCATCATTTTTACCTGTCTTTTAGTTTGGCGGTATTCCTGAATAGCATAAAAAACCCTACTCAGGTGTAAGGAAGTGAAGGAAAGCATAAGGCATTTACTTCCAATTTTCTCAACAGGATTCAGCATACTGGATACTCAGTTAAGGACTGGATTCTTCAAAGCCTTACTCCCAAGAGTAGCTCTGATGCAAGTAGTCCCACTGACTAATGGAGCTACTTCTGTGATTTAGGCTTTTTAAGGTCAAGCTGTCCTTTAGCATGTCTGGGGGATGAATGGCATGTGCAATTCTGTCAAGCACAACTGTTTGGTGGAGGTGCAAATAGTGGAGAAAATTAGGTCTTTTTCCCCCTCCATTTTTACTGATCACATTCCGAAAACTCAGACCATTACAGTAAATAAAAGTATCAAAGTGAAAGTTGACCCCTAGACCTAGTTACTTTGAAACCACTGTAAATTATCTCATTCAGGTAATATCAACAAAATGTCATTTATAAGAACAATTCGTACTCCTCAAATTGTAGTGAGATTTCTCTAAATCTTTCTCTAAGGAACATACCAATTACCCTCCAGATGGTGCTGTCAGCCTAATCTACAATTGGAAAGTTTTCCGATCATCTAAAAGTACGTATAAACAACTTTAATTTATAAAGAAGTCTTTCTCTCTGTCAAAAATAGCTTACCTTACAACATGTAGGGCAGAGATGGTCCTGTGGTCAAAACACCAGAATAGGAGTCAGGAGATCTGTGTTCGGTTTCCAGCTCCGCCACACAGTGGGTGTGTTACCTTGGGCAAATTCTTTAACCTGTAAAACAGGGATAACATCCACTTGAAAGGGTTGACGGGAAGCTATTTGTCGAGTATTCAAGGTCCTTGTTTGGAAGGCACTACATAAATGCAAAGTCCAGGTTTTATGAATTTATCAAAGCTTTTATTTTTGACCATTTTATTGGTTCTGTGACAAGGAAGAGAAACCCATACAGAAAGAAGTGTTGTATTTCAAGACTGTCAAACAAAATAAATTTATTTTAGCAGACAAATCAGGAAGTCATCTGCAACTGACTGACTGCCAGTAAACTGAATGAGCAAACCAGAAGCATAGGCACCGACTCCGTGGGTGCTCCATGGCTGGAGCACCCACGGGGAAAAATTGGTGGACCAGCAGCCAAGCTCCCCGCCCTTCCCCCCCTCCCCAGCTCACCTCCGCCTCCTCCCCTGAGCGCGCCACGTCCCTGCTTCTCCTCCCAGGCTTGCCACCGCGAAACAGCTGTTTTGCGGTGTAACAAGCTGTGGGAGGGAGGGGGGAGGAGGGGGAACGTGGCGCGCTCAGGGGAGGAGGCAGGGATTTGGGGAAGGGGTCCAATAGGGGCAGGGAAGGGGCAGAGTTGGGGTGGGGACTTTGGGGAAGGGGTTGGAATAGGGGCGGGGCAGGGGCAGAAGGGGGCAGGGCAGGTGTGGAGTCAGGGCGCGAGCACCCACCAGCGCCAGGAGAAGTGGCGCCTATGACCAGAAGGAGCATCATTTGTCGGATTGGGAGAAGAACTCTATCCAAAGTAGCAGATGACGCTCAGAAATTACCATTAAAAACACTGAAACAGGGACGTTGTTTCCTGAAATTCACGCATCAGAGCAGCACACAGAAAAATGAAGTATGGTCCAGGTCACTACATTTTTATTCAAGCTGAACTGGTATTGATCAGATGTCTGACATGCCTGCTTCTGCGCATGCTCTCTTACTCTCTGTCATCCGCCTCCCCAGAACAGCCATCACTGCTGGTTTTGGAGGTATGGTCCATAATGCGTAATGTATCTAGGTTTTTATATGGCCTCCATCACTGTATTATTTGAGTGCTTGATTTCACACAAGATAGTACCCTAATAAAAATAGTACCCATAAAAACCATTTGCCAACTTCTGCCTACCCACTTCCCCACCATGTCCACCATGATCACACCCACCCTGTACTTATTTGAATTAACAACACACAGTTTCAGGGTTTTATAAATAAATGGGCAACCAAGTATCCCTGAAAACTGACAAAGTCCCTGTCGGTTTTACAGAAGACATTGTTTAGTCTTGATTTTTGTAAACCCCAGTAGACTGGATAAATAACTGAATTTTTGGAACTGACAGTGAGCTGGGAAGCATGTGCGCACCGCAGAGACCAGCCACAGATTTACCGAGTGATCATATCCCCACTCAATTAAATCTCACAATCAGCAACCCTATGAGCCAGCTCTTCCTCAGACATAGGCCCTTGCTATTCTATGAAAATCTTCTTAAAGTTTCCCATCGTTGCTGACATCTGTTCAGCTCCGCTAGTGTTAGCATCACAGGAAGTCTTAGTATGATAGGATACCAGCTGCTGCTGATTCTTTTATTATTAATTATTATTAACAAACAAGTGTTGATTAGAGCTGCTCTGAGAAGAGTTATGACACGATGTTAAAGATGCCAGCAGCCCACCTATACCAAGTCTCCTAATATGCTAACACCAGTGAAGCTAAACAAGTGTTAATTATCGTGGAAAGTTTTTAGAAAGTTTGCATAGCACAGACAAGGCTGTACAATCAGATGTGAGCAGAGTCTGAGACTCTGAGCGCTGCTGCAAGTGGCAAGTCTACAGGAAGGTTGGCTGTCATGCTACCATATGCAGGCAGTTACTGACCTAGACTTGGAAGTGCCATCCATAATTCTGTTCACCTCCCCTGCACCACCTCTCCTGCACCTTGTAAGCACTGGACTGTTGCTGGGCATTAGGGATGATTGTGGCAGAGCAAAAGGGAGAAAAAGGATTGAGAGTGGATGTGTGACAGGATATTTTGCAGGGGGAAGACATGAGGGAATAACTAAAGAAGGAAAATGAAAAAGGCTGAAGCAAGGGAAAAGACAGATGAGAAAGGAACAGAAGAAAATGGAAAAATTAGAGAAGATAAAAGCATGGAAAATATGAGGAAAGAATGAACATCCAATACATTTAATTTGTTTAGTAGGTTCTTCATAATAAAAAGAGATTCAGTCGCTACTATTGCCTCCCAACCAAGTAGGATACGCAAACTATTCCAGAGCAACAAGAATGTTCAAATTCAGAGCCAAATATAAATGCTGATTTTATTTATTTTACTCCAGAGTAAAATTAAGGCAACTTGGTTTGAGAAATTGAATATCATGCCTTTTTATATTTTGCAATCAAAGACAGAAAAGGGTGTGTGCTGAAAACTTACCTAGACAAGCAGTCTTTCCACTTGTCCCAGCTCGTTCAGGTTTAATCAGCGTAGTAAATCTGTAACACAGTAAAATTAAAATATAGATATACCCATAGTATAAGAAAGCCAAAGATTAGAAACGAACACTGACATTTCTTATTACAAAGACTACAATATTTTGAAAGTTTCCTTATATACATGCAAAATAAAAAACAAACAAACAACCACACGCTGTATTCACCTCCCAAAGCATAAACCCAGCAGCATGGCCACAGCACAGGAAGTTTTCCCAAAGATGAGTGAAAAAAATCAGGAAGTTCCCAAAGAAGCCACCAAGAGGAACAGTTTTACATCTCTCCTTCAGTCCAACTTCTACTGTTATGTCTACAAGAAACCAGAACAGATTTATCTAGCCAACAGATAATGGCTAAATAGAGGGCCAGTGAGCATACATGGTATCTACTTAACAAATAATCCTTCGTATGTTTTATCTTTCTCCCAACTCTTCATACTTTCCTTGTCTTTTCCAACTGAGAGCCCTCTGGGGCAGGAACGGCATCTTGTGTTTGGGAAGTGCCTAGCATATAGGAGACACTAAAGCAATCATAAAAAATAATACTTCTTCTATCATTCTGAAAAATGATCTGAACCCAGGCCTCTTTGAAAAGTCAACTGGAGCTTGGTCTACTTTTAAAATTTATATCGGCATAGCTACATCAGTCAGGGCTGTGAAAAAAGTCACACCCCAGTCTGACAGCTATGCTCACAAAACACCCAGTGTAGACACAGCTCTGTTGACAGAAGAGTGCTTCTGTCCAGGAGCGGCTCCAGGCACCAGCACAGCAAGTGCGTGCCTGGGGCGGCAAGCCGCGGGGGGCGGCGTGCCGGTTGCCGTGAGGGCAGCAGTCAGGCTGCCTTCGGCGGCATGCCTGCGGGAGGTCCGCCGGTCCCGCTGTCATGCTTGGGGCGGCAAAATACATAGAGCCACCCCTGCTTCTGTCAAGGTAGCTAACATCATTTGAGGCAGTGGTGTTCCTGCACTAGTAGAAATAGTCCTTCTTTGAGTGTACACTGAATCTATATTAGGGGATTAACCAACACAGCTATGCAAGCATAGGCTCTGTGTTGTACACGTAGCCTCAGTGTCTGAAACCCTGGTCCCCATTGAAGTCAATAGCCGAACTCCCATTCACTACACTAGGGTCAGGATTTCATCCCTGTTCCTGCTCCTATTTATTGACTATTGAACCTGATTGTAAAGAGAGTCTCAGCCCCTCCCAGCATCAGGCCTTTAGCAACAAACAAGCTACTCACTCCCCTACCACAATTATTGACATTTTACATATTCTGTCTCACTTTAAATATTATGATAAAAATGAGCAAAAAATTGAAGCTTTTAGCTAAAAGATTTTGATATGGTTTAATGTGTAGAACAAAAAAATTATATTAATTTTTCATTTTGGGAGAGATTATTTTTAAAGCAAAGAAAAATGCATAAGTGCACAATAAAGGTGTATGCTAGAACAGAGTAGAAACACTTCTAGCTAGAAGCCAATAAACCTCAGTGCACAAGCAATGGAAGAGGGAAAGGTCAGTTTCAGGCATCCCAGGGAAGAGGGAAAGGTTGGTTTCAGGCATCATCAGTGAGAAAACCATGATTTAAATAATTGGGAGAGAAACCTTTTTAGAGTGTTTTACATATTTTTTGTTTTCTCACACCATAACTAAGGATCATGGGTATAAATTCTTCCCCCTTTGCTTTTGGTGTAATGTTTTTGGCAAGTTGCTGCACTCACTATCACTTTTTATTTTTATTTTTTTAAAGGAGTAGTAGTAGTTGTAGTAACCCTCTATCAACGTTTTAAGGAAATCATAATTTTTAGATGCATAAAAATTTGCCCTTTCTGAAGCTCACTGCTCCCAAAGCTGAGTTCCTAGTGAAGGTGGAAGGTTTACTGGCTTTGTCTAGCCTAGGATTTAAAAGTACATTGTTAGACGGTGTTAGCTATCACATTCTAGCTGCCTAGTGTAAACAAGGCACACTGCCTGTAACACATGCTAAACCGGTCAGGTTGAAGTGGGGAACCTAAGTTTTAATGCCATTTTAACCCATATTAGGAGTATGCAATGCTTTGTCTATGCTAGAGACTTTCAAATATATTCATTAAAAGGTGCTGGCTAACACCTTCTACCAATGTTCCCTTAAATCCTCATCTAGACCAGGTGGTCTCACAAGAAATTTTTTGGTGGCCTCAGAGTGCAGCCACCAACTCTTGCTGGTGGCCATTCTGACAATTTTTCTTAAAATACTTAATTAACTTTAAAAAAAAAAAAACAAATAAATATGCACATATACACGTCCAAATCATAATTTATTTAAGTAGGTTTTTATTGCAGACTCAATAATAAAAATAATGTACAGTTGTCTCTATTCTTTACTGGACCTAAACAGAATAGAAACAAATGTGATTTGCACGTTCTTGTTTTGTTGTTGTTGCTTCTTATGCTTTTTTTTTAAACTTGCTAGCTAGCAAGTCTGTTTCTGTGAAAAATGATATCTGTATGTTTGTTAACATTGCTTTGCCTCCCTCCCCATCATTGCCTAGGAATCTTTGGCCACACAAAAAGCCCCTGGTGGCCACATGCAGCCATATTTGAGAAATGTTGGACTGTAGACAAAGCCTTAGGGTATGTCTATGCTGCAATAAAACACCTGCAGCTGGCCCGTATCAGCAAGCTCACGGGGCTGAGGGGCTATAGAACTGCAGTGTAGATGTCTGGGCTCCAGCCAAGCCTGGGTAGTGGGACCCTGTGAGGGGGGGAGGGTCCCAGAACTCAAGCTCCAGCCCAAGTCCAGACATCTATACAGTAACTCCTCGCTTAACACTGTAGTTATGTTCCTGAAAAATGCGACTTTAGGCGAAACGATGTTAAGCGATGCTCTGCGTTTCTAGCTCATGCAGCCACCCTAGTTCTCACTGTGATGTGGCATCGGATAGTTGATACAACAAATTTACATGGGTTGAAGGACACATTCCGACCACTACATTTATGTCCTTTTGATTGGTTAGAGGTTTCCCCCAGTCGTCTTTAATATGTTTTCAGAAATAGTTAAAAGAAAAGGAAGAAAATGTGCCCTGTGCCACTCAGTTATGTAGTTGACAACTGGTCCTTTTCACTCTGCCAAGAAGTCTTGCTGTACTTCCAAGAGAAACAATGGCTTGTTTAGGACCTCTCCCATGAACTGCTAGTGTCAATTCATAAAAAACGAAAGCTTATATTGTTTTTTAATTAAGTTTCTAGCACTTATGGCAAAGAACAAAACCTTCCAAATGTGAAGTGAGTGTGAACCAATGCAGTGCTTTTTTTGCCAAATCTGCACATAAACTGCACCAGTAAGAAAGACCTCTGGGCAGGTTCTGTGCCTATTCAGAACTTAGAGCCAGTCAGAACTGTCATTTCAGCAAAATAGGTTTTCATTGAAACCAGAATGTTTTGTGCAGATGTATCAGTTTAATCTCCATAAATCAGTTTCCAAGAAATGTTTGTCAGGATTCAGGAAGGTCTTTAGGTCTGGGGCACGGGAAGGGTAGGGGAGAGGGGGAGGAGAGATGTGAATAACACCTTTATTCACTGTAAAAAAAAAAAAAAAATCACATTTAAATATATTCAAAATGTCATTAAATACGTTAAATATACATAAAGAAAGGAATAAATAGCAATAAACCCACCCCAAACAAACATTACACATGGATCACTATGGCGTCACCAGAATCAAGTTTGCTCAAGACATTATTAATACATCAGGTGAATCAAAACATATCCAGACTTCAAAGTGAGCTTATAAAAGGTAGCAAACCCACAGCCAGGCAACGATCAGCATGCAGAACAACTCCAGCACATCACACCCCTTTACCCCTGTCACTTTGTCCTTGGGAAAGTTCAGAATGACCAGTTTGGCCTGATACAGTAACACCAGCACACACACACACACACACATACACACACACACTCTGTGTATTGCACTCCCAGAATAAACTCAAGTTTGGAGGAAAACAGTTCCCAGCAACTGAAAAGCTACCGCAAAAACCCAAAAAGATTAATCAAATGGGAACAATTGAGGAAAAAATGAAACACTGCATCCAAATAGGATAGAATAGGATCTTGTAATTGGGACAGAGAAGGGAAATAGGTCTCCAGTTCCGCACATCATAGAGGTCCCATTTCTTGGGCAGCAGGGTAATTACTGCCCCGTGACAACTGAGGGACAGCTCCTTCCTCTAGAAGCACTCCAGAAACCACTCAGGAAAATATCAGGACCAATAAGATCCTAAAATGTAGACAACAGCCCACCTATCCCTGAGGCTTTGCCTGTAGAGAGCTGCTGGACCACAATAGAGCTCCTGCAAGGACAGAAGGGCTCCAGACATTGTTGTTCCTCACTAGCGAGACAGGGCAACCCGTGGTGCAGCTCCACCATTGCCAGCATGTCACAGGACTCAAGTGAGTACAAAGCACTACAGAAGGATACAGATGCTTTCTGGATTTCCACAGAATCAGATGTCAGACATGCCCTGGGCAGCTGGAGACAGTGAATCTGCTGACAGTCCACAGTGTTCCTCTCCAAACCAAAGACATTTCTCATGTCATGCAGCTGAGGGAAATGGGCCCAAACCAGAGCTCCCTGCAATGTTCTCCTCCAGAAAGCGCTCTGGAGGCTCATATTTTGATATCAGGTTCCCAACATCAAGGCTGCCATGAAGATCCACAATGTCCCATTCCAGGGTACTCAGCATGACACAAGGCCCTTACAGCAGCCTAGGTGTAACATTGGCAAAACAATTGGATTTGGACCTCTCATGTTCTGCCGCTGTCTCAAGGACTCCTAGAAGGACTTCTGCTGCTGCCGCCAATGCTCCCAAAACACAGCTAATGCCTGGGTGAAATTCAGGTCCTGAAACAATTTGGTGATAAAAACACCAGCGGGAAGCACAGGCAGGATAGGGGAGAGAAACACTGACAGAGACATAGTGATGGTCAGCCAAGCGAGTGGGAGACAAGCAGAACTGAACGAACA